CCTCCCTCCCTCCCTCCCTCCCTCCCTCCCTCGCACATATCAACCAACACAAACACCCCGGCCTTGACGCATCGCTTCCCGGATGGGTACAGTCTGTCTCTTCCGGCAGCCACACATTCCACAAACGACACGGAACAGCACGAGGAACGGAAGGACGCATCCGTGTCGCTCTTAACACAAACAACACACATAGGCAGACCCACCGAGGCGCACACACCAGCCAGAGTCACGTATACGCGCACACAACAAAACAAGGCCACTCTACGGATGACCACTAGCAGGAGGGAGGACGGGCCGCCGGTGTGGTGGGTTCACGTTGACGTCGTCTACTGACGGATTGATACCAATCTCTTTTTTCCTCTTTCTTCCTTCCGAAATGGATCTTAGCCGGCCAAGGCTCGCTGGGGGGCTGCATGCACGAGCCTAGCCAGTCTCAACCCCCAAGTTGATGAGACGGCTGACGAAAGTCTGCCTCCAGCGGACGCTCCAGTGGTGCTGAGCGGTGTCATGGATTCCACCTCGCCACCAGCCCCCCTGGAAATGTTGAAGTATCCGCAAGTCGGGTCTGCCTTCGAGTGCCGTGTCGAGACACCAGCCAGCACTTCCAATCCCTCTGCCACCAACAAGAGTCTCACCCTGGTGATTCGGCGACCACTCAAGGAGGGGGCAGACGGCTGCGTGTACGACGTGGAAGCAAAGGGGAGGCCCGAGAGGTTTGTCAGCAAATCGGCACACGAAGCCGCCTATGACGACGAAATCGCCAAGGAGCACCAAGTCGTGTCGGCGGTGTATGACAAGTGCCAGCGGGAGGGGAGGCTGTCATGCGTGCCGACGCCTATCGGCTGCCCGGAAGTCGACACAGCCACGGGCAAGAGAAATGTCCTGGTGCTGGCCAAGCTCCAATGCACACTCGCCGACCTCATGGACGAGTACAAGAGACTCGCCGGCAACGCCCTGCTGCCCACTGTGGCAGTCCTGGAGATCCTCGCCTCATCCGTGAGTGCATGTGGGGGGATGTGTGCGTGCATCTATTCGATCATTGTGTGGTGTGCTCATATGCGCTGCACATACATGCAGATTGAAGCCCTCGAGAGTTGCCACTCTGCCAAGGTCATTCACCGAGACATCAACCTGACGAACGTCATGTTTCCGGGACGGTGGGGAGGGCGGCTGCGGGCCATGTTAATCGACATGACGAGATCGCTGCTGTTCCACGTCGATGACGACCAGAAGCGGGCGAAGTGGGTCGGCCGTGGGAAAAGCATGGTCAGCACATTTGCTTACGCGAGCAAATGGAGCCTCCGCGGCTATCAGCAGGGCCCACGGTGAGCAAAACAAGAAAGTGACACACATGAGCCATGCACCAACAGCACCGTTTATCGAATGTCTCATCTATCTCTCATCATTCAGGGACGATATCATGGCGGTCGTCAGGTGCCTGTTGAGTTGTCTGCACCCCACTCTGACACTCGCGAGAGTGTCATCGAGCGCGGACGAGCTCACCGGCGCATACGAAGCCCACTGCGACACGGATTGTGACCATCCGGAGGTGATTCAGGCGGCAGAGAAGCTCATCGCGTCCCGTGCGACCACCGACGAGCGGTGGATCTCCTTCATCGTCAGTCCGCTGCCAAGTGAGTCTGCTGCACGCCGCTTTGCCAGCAGAAGAAAAGAGTGCAGTGATTGCATTCTTTGTTCCTGCTGTGTGTGGTTGTGTGTCTGTTGTCTGTGATCATTTCTCTCTGCAGCGAGCATACGGGCAAATGTGCGTGATAGTCTGCTCCGTCTGGTCAGCAAGGTGGAGGACTTCCCGTTTGGCCGGCTGGATGGCGGCGTGTACCAAGAGCTCAAGAGAGACATCGCAAGCATCGAGTCTACGTAGGCAACCAGGAGGCAGGGACAGAGAATCAGGCACACACACTTGCACTCATAGACTATACCTCTGTCTGTATGTGCCCGTCTTCAGCATTGCGTCGTGCTCCGAGGACACATACCACAAGGAGTCTCTCGAGACGGCGTTCAAGAGAGCGGTGCGCACAGACTAGTTAGTGTCCATAAACGCAGGCAGAACCCATCCATCCCTTGCTCTGCTTGCGCACTCACAGGGATTTGATGTGCCAGTGCCTCCCCAGCAGCAGCAGCAAGGTGCCCGCCTGTTTCCCACCATGTCGGCCCTCCGTCCCCCTCCCCCACCCCCACAGCC